CTCCCTTTTGTCACAACAATGCCCTTGCCATACTCCTCACCTTGATCCCTTGTTTCATTCCCCAGGGTCTTCCCCTCCTACCTCTCTAACACCTATTTTTATCCTTATCACACATCCATCATCAAAGCTCTTCTACACTGGAATATTCACAGTATCCATTCTCACAGACTTGATCTTTGTCACATCCATTCTTCCTATAATACATATTTTCTTTCAAAACTTGTTTTCATTCCTTAAAAACATACAAATCCTCCACTTGATATAATTGCCCTTCAACCCATTGTCCCCTTTTTGCTAATCCCTACCTTGCCCCATTTACTCACCCTCTTTACCCCTTTTCAGTTCCATATCATCCTAAAGTGTGTGAATTTTGATGTGCAGCATTTACTTATTATCCCCCCTCTCCTCTTTACCCTTTTTTGCTACTATATCTTCCTTTGATATCTATCAAATTTATTTGCTTTTTAACCATTAATAATTGTGCTTTTTCAAGATGATAATAGTCTGTTTTCGATGAGCAGATTCCATATTATCTCCCTACTATTGTGCAATAACAATAAGTAACATTGTATTATTTTTGCAATTTTTAAAATGATCATATCATTTATTTTTCTGTATTTGATGAAACAAACCCTGCTCCACCATTCACAGCAGGCAGGAACAGGATCCTAAGCATGGAAATAAGGTCCTTCCAGGAACCAGCACTATTTCCAACCATGACTTTTGCCCTAATTTATTGGTGGAAATAATGTAAAAGCCTTTCCTAAATGGCCACTGAGTATATATCTTCCTCACCCCAGCTCTCAGCCAAATTTTTTCATATTCCTGTCATCTGACCTTCAGGCAAATTTTCTATTGACATGACAGACACATCACCAAGATCCAATGTTTTTTTTAACAAAGATGGTAAAAAACAACTGGTGAATATTACTTCTTTATTTGTTCCAATCTGGAAAGTCATTCAATAGCGTGCACATAATGTTATCATCCTCCTAATACTAGTGCACTTGCACAGATAAACCAAAAATTGCACCAAAGAGGGATTTTAGCACCAGCACTTGCTAAGGCAAAGTTCATCAGGAGATCTCATCAAGAGGTACTGTACTATTCAAACTGAATATTTGGTGTGCATTGATACCTGCAGAACTAGATATTTGAGGTGCCCTCAACTGGTTTTTAAAAGATCACAAAAATTGTCACTTCTAGCCTGAAAATAAATATTCATAAAAGTCAAGTTCATAATGCCTTCTAGAAATTTTATCTTCATTGGCTAAATCTATTCGAGTATACATTTAGCACCGAGTGCTAAAAGGGTCAGTATCCAAAAATGGCAATTTTGAGATAAGCCTTCCCCCAAACTGAAAATTAATGTGTTATAAAGGCAAAATCATTGCATTTGAGATGCCACACAAGCACTGCTTTGAATTTTAATTCACTGAAAATTGTACATTTCATCGAGTGACTGATTGCCACAAACAGCTGCTTTTTTAATACATAGCAAGAGAAGCGGTTTACTGCTTTTATCATTTTGCCTTTTCCTGTAGTATTATACCATCTTCAGTACACAGTTAACAGATTTTACAGTTACAAAAGGAAAAAAGAAAAAATGATGTGAAAGTATTAAAAAATTATTGTCAAAGGAACTTTATTTATATTTCTAAACCTTAAATGGTAGAATTAGGAGGAATTGTTTTAACATCAGTAGCAATGTCTTATAATTTCTCAATTAATCAGCAAAAGATTATTTTTTAATGTTTGCTTTGAAAGAATTACAGTAAAAAAATGTATCATATGTGTTTTTTATTGTCAAAAATATTTATTTTCACTATGTCCAAAAAGTCTGAAAAAGGATTTGATTATCACAACACAGTTTGATTGGTCACAGAAAAAACTATATTTCATGGATCATTATTCACTGAATTTCAATTAATGGAGCAGACTTTCAAATGCCTTTTTCTCAATATTGACTCTCGGGACACTGGCTCTTCTTGTCCTTGCCTCTAGCTATGACCTTCAAACTCACATTTCTTACAATATCTTATATAATAATCTCTCATCCTTGGTAAAAGGATAAATTATTAGTCAGCATCATTTATGAAACCTTAAAGAGAGAAACTATTTGCTTTATGTCTCAACTGATTATCACAAATGAGAATAACTGTAATGCATAATAATAATATTTTACACTCATATTCACAATTTAATCTCAATGTGATATATCACAGTTTTGAGCAAGAAATGAAATATTTGGAACTGATTTTAATATCTTAATATATATTATACATTTTTCTTCGTTTATTTTTTCTATTATCAAAACTTAAAATATAAAACATGGTAGATTAAGAACAATAAATAAACTCAGCAAGGCACAATGAGGTCTTATTCATTTGCATTTACTGAATATAAACACTTCATATTATATCTCCTTATCCTCAACTGTCTAACTCATTAAACCCATTTATAATGGGTGTCCCATATATGAGACACCTGGAAAAATAAACATTGCCGTGTGTCCTGCCAGTGTGACGATGGATTGGAGCTTGCGCTCCAAATACGTTGCGGGCCATGGCCAGCGCGCGGGCAGATTCCAGGCCAGCCCAGCGCGCCAATTTTGTAGCCACCCGGAAACTACTATTTTTGGCTTTAAAATATACCGGCATTAGTGGGTTAAACAAAATTAAATAAAGAAGGTAAACTGCATTTCTTTTCTCCCCCTTGTTTCATAAAATCTAATGATTTCTCTATAAAGAAAATTAGCTATAAAGATGTTACAGAAGTCGCAATTCCAGAAAAGCATCCAATCCTTTGTCGTACTTTACAATCTTTCTACTAAGTAAAATGCTTCATATTCTACTACCTTAAGTCTTTTGATTGATATTTTCTATGATACTTTTCACTTTATTTTCTATGCTATATAAGTGATTGTCATTTATGTTCAGTGACCTCATAGTCTGCGCTAACTGGAAAAGATACTCCTTATTTGAACCACTTGGCCCTGCAGCTGATGCTATAATCTGGGCAATTTCATCTTCTTTTGCTGGCCCTGTATAAAAGGGGTTTGTTTCTGAACCTGAAAAGAAAATGGTATTGAAATTTAAATTACTCATATCCATCTTTAAAATTTTCTTCCTTATGCCTAAACACAAATGCACTTAATCTTTACATGTAACAAAAGAACATTTTGTAATACATCAAAAAATTATGCCTCACTTCCTATATTGCTACTGTATTGAATATGCATTTCTTTTAATCTTGATGCAATTGAAAATTTGGTGACCACACCATGGGTAATATCTTGAAATATCTTACTATCATCACTCTTGCAATTTGATAATCTTTTTAAATTGGATTTATGGCATTAACTTCATGTGACAAAATTCAGTCACTAACTTTTTTCAAACCTTAATTATCATTAGCAATAAATGTCATAGTCTAAACATTAAGAATCATATTACATGTAAATTTCTTAAAAGAGATAGCTAAAAATTTAAAAGTTCCAGAATTTAAGAATAAATAAGTAAGTATATACCATAAGTTCACACGGCTTCAATCGGGCCTCTTTCTATTACATCTAAAAATTCTTGCAGGAAATATTTAGGAAACAAATGGTTTAGACTTAAAGGGGGAAAATACCTAAATAGATGATAAGTTCCCAGGGTTTCAACGCAGCCTCCTGGGGGAAGAAGGTGACAGGCGTGCGCTGATATCCATCCTTTTCCCTGTGGTCGAGATGGGCCATCACTTCCTCCTGCTTTTCTTCGCTGATCTTATAAGCTACACCCCAAACCTTCTCCTACACATTGAAGGAATGTTAAGGATTTCAATTAGGACTGTGAGGCTTTGACTTTTCATTAAAGTTATGGTGATTCTTTTTTTCACTGAATCTTTACACAAGAAAGGAGATTTAGCTCTTTGATTTTAAAATATTAAAAGTGATTTCAAAGTTTCTCCATCTTTATTAAAAACAAAAAAATCATTTCTACCACAAAATACAAAACATATTGTACATAGAGAAGTATATAATGAATCTGTTGTAAAATACAAGTTTTATAATCTATGATAACAGTACAAGACAAGGCTCCTAATATATATAAGAAAACTAAGATTTTTTTTAAATCATATTTCATTCACTGTGGTACCTACTGTTGTCAATTTTTGAAAAGTTACACATACAGTAATTCATGTTTAGTAATATCCTTATAAGAGATCAATGCTAAAAAATATATAAACTACAAAACACTTGTATCCCTGAAACTTACATATAAGAAATACAAGACAATATCAATGAAACATTCTTGATGCAAATATCAATAACAAATTTTACTCCAAGACTGAAAAAATTATCAAGAACTTCATCAATGTTAATAATGCTAGTACCAATAGTTTTCACTACAGAAATTAAATAAATTTATTACTAAAATATATATATACTATCCATCAAAGTAGATATGTATAAAGATGAAATACATTCCAGGATGAAGTACAAAAATACATTTTTATAACAGGAGCATTTCATTTGTACTGAACTTGCACAAAAATCACTCTATACATTAATCCCCAATGCCAAGATAAACTGCCTGATCTACATAAGTATGTATGTTTGTAAAGATCTAAAATGTTTCAATTGTTCTCACTTTGTGATCATATTATCTTTTCAGCTAAAATCTTTTTTACCGCCTCCTCCAACTGGAACAGGTGATCATCTTTGGCTTGTGGTACCTCCTCCCGCATGAAATTTGCCAGACGAAATAAGTATTCTGAATTCGCACCTGAAGGACCATGACTTTCAGCTATTTGCTTTGCCATGCTAAGGACTGGGGCATCTTCCAATAGGAATTCACTCTGTTTACTCCCCAGAAACACCAATACATTTTCTGATAACATCTGATTGTTGGGAGAGTACATAGTTAGGCTTTTTCTATTGGTAAAGCGTTGCTCTCTTATGTTTAAGCGTTCCATCACGTCACCCTCTTTGTCTGGCGAGATTTCATACGCTGCTCCCCAGACTTTTTCCTGAAGCACATTAGGCCTCATAATAAAGTGTTTAGGATAAATATCTAAATAAACTGTAAAGAAATATTATGTGCAAGACTACTAAACGTTAACATATTACACAAAAGATATAAATACAGTAAATACTGTAAAGTTCTAAAACTATTGGTGCTTGTCATGCTTCTGGATTATTATAATACTGGTGCTCAAGAAAACGTACCTCAGGATCCTTGGACGGTACCAAAGTGACAACTCTTCCTGGCTGCAAGTTGGGAGGAAAGTGAAGAATTATATGTATGAGAACTACTAAAGAATGAGCTAACAAAAGCACTAAGTAATATCATACAGCCTAATGGATGTAAAAATATCTAAACCTATACGATTAGATTATTAGTATGTAGGCAAGAATTAACATTATGTATGTTTAAAAGAGGGCATCATTCACAAATGTTTGGCTGAAGAAAAGTAAATATTAAGAAGACCTTTGCACATCCACCAATGACCTTTAACTGATTAGCCCAATGTTGCAAGCTACACAGACCGTCCACTGTAATTTTGTATTGTGATTTCCATATGCCCTTAGATGGCTCCATAAGTGCTCAGCCACCAAGGCCCTAAATGACCTCGCACAATTCCTGGTGTTCGTGAATAATTATAGCGCTCATGCAATAGGCTTGTGTCCACCCCAAACATTCTGTTCAATATGTTGTTACCAGTTTAAACATGCTTCTGACCTTATTGAAGATCAACCATTATTTGAACAAGTAGTTCAGTTTCAGGTACAGGTCTGGTCTTGTACCTAAATGCATGTACCTGTACCTAAAATTTATCAAGGTACACAGCTCTCATAATTTCCTATTTCCTTGAATCTTATTTTTTTATTATCATTATTATTTTTTTTTAGCTATTAATATCAATGCTGTTATTAGTATTATTATTGACATCATGATTATTACATTATTAACAATACCAACAGCAATGCAAAATAAAAAAGGAAAAGGGTAGACACGTGAGATATTTAGATCTAGTAACTGACTTCTTGGCGAGTAAGCTATTGTAAAACCATCTATGCGTTAACAAAATTAATAAATCAAAATTACACTGGACAGAGAATGTATAGTATGTATATGCATTAGGGTTATATTCACACAAAGCTCAATAAACATCCTGCACATTTTCTTGCAAGATGGAGCTTGTAGGTGTCCCAAGCCATTTATCAAAAAAATAAAAAAGCAGTTTTGCCAAAATTTACATGGAAGAGGGTTCTCAAACCCATTTTAAAAGTAAAAAAATTCAAATCAATAGATTTTTACAATTGCTTTCATAGCTGAGGAGTAAAAAAGCATTGTTCACTGCTCTATGTGATGCTAATTCTGCTTAAGGTACTAATAACAAAAGCTTCAACAACAATAATAATATCAATGTATATTATATGTTAATAGTAACTGTAACAGCACTGACTATGACGGTAGTACAAACAGCTATTAGTAATTAGGAAAATTAGTAAGGACAATAATAATACATAAGAATAATAGTAATAATGATACTGAAAAGGATAATAACAATAATAATAATAATGAAAACAACAATAATAACAATTATGAAAATGATGACAATAACAAGAACAACAATAATAATATCAATAATAGTAATAATATATAATAACAATAACAATAACAAGAACAAGAGCAACAATTATAATCTAACAACAATAATAATATCAATAATAGTAATAATAACAATAACAATAACAATAACAATGATAATATGATAATAATGATAATATGATAATGATAATATGATAATAATGATGATAATGATGATAATATGATAAAATGATATAATGATAATAATGATAATTATATGATAATAATGATAATAATGATAATAATAATAATAATAATAATAATAATAATAATAATAATAATAATAAATAATAATAAATAATAATAATAATATAATAATAATAATAACAATAATAATAATATAATAATATAATAATAATAAATAATAATATAATAATAATAAATAATAATAATAATAATAATAATAATAATAATAATAATAATAATAATAATAATAATAATAATAATAATAATAATAATAATAATAATAATATAATAATAATAATAATAATAATAATAATAATAATAATATAATAATAATAACAACAAATAATAATGAAATTATAATAATAAAATTATATCAATAACAACAATATCAATAACAAAACAACAACAACAACAACAACAATAATAATAATAATAATAATAACAATAAAAATAAATAATAGTAATAATAATAAAATAATATCAATTATAAATCAATAACAACTACAAGCAATAATAATAACCTTATAACAAAAATACTAATAATAACACAGGTGAAAATAAGTAAATAATAATAATAACGACAAAATAATCAGAATAATAATAACACCAATGATTTTAATGATAACAACCTCCTTATTGCTAATGATGAAAGGGACAATAACAATAATAATTATATATTACAACAATGAAAAAGTATGATACTGGTAATAATGATGATAATAAAGATGATTTTGATACTATTACTAGACCTACTACCAGTGTTAACGAGTATAGACACTTGGCTTAGAAAATGAAAACTCAACTACAGATTTTTGCAACAAAAAAGGAAACAATGACCTTTTTGTAGTACCAGTGTTTAATACTAGTATTTGCAATTTTTTTTTCAGTAGCTGAGTCTCCCAATTGCAAATTCCAATCATCAATAACTATATATATACGTATAATATATATATATGTATATATATATATATATATATATATATATATATATATATATATATATATATATATATATATATAGACTAAGACATAAAAGGTGTTTTACTCCCATTCATATATATATCAATAAAATTATCCAGTAATTTAAATCCAAACTAAACATTTTACTGTTTTTTTTATTTTTATCATTATCATTATCATTATTATTATTATTATCATTGCTATCATTATTATTCTTGTTATTGATATTATCATTTTTATTATTATCATTATTATTATCATTACTATCAATATTATTAACATTATTATTACTATTACTATTACTATTACTATTATTATTAATTATCATTATTATTATCATTATTATCATTATTATCATTATTACTATTATTACTACTACAATAATAATTATTATTATCACAATTATATTATTATTATTTAATTATTATCATTATTATTATTATTATTATATTATTATCATTTCATTATTAATTATTATCATTATTATCATTATTATCCTTATCATTATTATTATTATTATTATTATTGCTGCTATTACTATTATTATTACCATTATTATCATTATCATTCTTATCATTATTATTATCATTATCATTATTATTATCATCATCATTACTATTATCATTATGGTTATTATGATTATTATTATCATTATTAATATAATTATTATTATTGTCATTATTACTATCATCATCATTATTATTATCATCATTACTATTATTATCATTATTATCATCATTATCATCATCATCAAAAATGTACATGATGCAGTATTTCCATTATGAAATAAATGCTATACTGCATACGATACATTACTTTTCCCGGAACTCCTCGGTGATCAATGCTTGCCTGCCAGAACCTGCGAGCATAGCCTTTGATGTATCCAACTACCCGCTGCTGGTACGGAAAATCCACCTTCCATGTGAGGGAACCGTATCCGAAAATCCACATTATTGGGCCCTGACGGAAAACAAAGCATTTATAGAACTACGTACAACTGTTTTTCAATATGCATTCTGCCCTTTTGTTTTCATCATCTTTGGTAGTAATAAAAAATGTGTCCTCCATTATATACTTCATTCACTGGTCATCTGACAGTCCCATATATATGTGTATACAGTATATCTTTCTATCTTGCTATCTCTCTAACTATATATACACATACATATATATGATATATAATATTATATATATATAATATATATATATATATATATATATATATATATTCATATAAATATATATATATTACATATATATATACATATATATATACATATATATATATATATATATATATGTATAATAATACATATATATGTACATGCACACACACACAAATATATATATACACACACACACACACACACACACAACACACACACACACACACACACACACACACACATATATATATAGGCACATATATATATATATATATATATATATATATATATATATATATATATATATATGTGCCTATATATATATATATACATATATATATTTACATATATAAATGTAGATATATATGTTATATATCTATGTATATGTATACACACACACACAACACACATAATATACACACAAATATATAAATATCTATCTATCTCTATCTCTCTCTCTCTCTCTCTCTCTCTCTCTCTCTCTCTCTCTCTCTCTCTCTCTCTCTCTCTCTTCTCTCTCTCTCTCTCTCTCTCTCTATATATATATATATATATATATATATATATATATATATATATATATATATATATATATATGTATGTGTGTATATAAATTTATATGTATATATGTATATCTTTATCTATATCTATATCTATATATATAAATGCATATGTACATATATACATATGTACATATACATATATAAACATATAGATAAACATATACATATATATACATATAAATCTATAATACATATATATACATATACACACATATATACCTATATATATACACATACATACATGTGTATATATATACATATATATATACAAATATATGTCTACATACATATAAATATACATATATAGAGACATGTATACATATATATATCTATATCTATATATATCTACCTATCCAGTTAAATATCTCTCTATATATGTATATATATACATAACTATATATACATATACAAAGATAACTATATATATATATGCATATATATAAACATATATGTATACAAATACACATACATATATCCAGATATACATATATTCATATATGCATATATGTATATATGTATATATGTATATATGTATATATGTATATATATGTATATGTATATATATGTATATGTATATAATATATATATATATATATATATATTCATATACATATACATACACCGATATGTGTGTGTGTGTGTGTGTGTGTGTGTGTGTGTGTGTGTGTGTGTGTGTGTGGTGTGTGTGGTGTGTGTGTGTGTGTGTGTGTGTGTGTGTGTGTGTGTACATATATATTTGTGTGTGTGCATGTACATATATATGTGTGTGTGTGTGTGTGTGTGTGTGTGTGTGTGTGTGTGTGTGTGTGTGTGTGTGTGTGTGTGTGTGTGTGTGTGTGTGTGTGTGTGTGTGTGTGTACAGATCTGTAAATTATAAAATGCCAAATAAAATCCAGTTCCAATCCAGTTCCAACCGATCAGAACAAACTACCCACATGACAAACAACACGAGACAAAATAAATTACACTTGGCACACCTTAATTTTAAAACAGGTAAGTGCTCAGAATGAAACTAAACTTAAACAAAAGAAATGCTAATGTGATAGCTACAAAAAAAAACTTATATAAAACAACATTGTTCTAGATGAAAATAACCTAAAAGTTTAAAATTATGGCTAGAATCATTTATCAAAGTCGATTAAATCCATATCATCATTGCGGTGTCAAGCGTCGCCGCGGCCTCCGACGTCCGTGCTCCAGCAAAGAACAAATACCATGTAAAATAGGATAAGATACAGCGTCAATGACCTTGCTGGCGATTTAATGTATAAAAAGAGTCTATCAAAGCCTTTTCCTGTAACCTATAAGTGAAAGAGGTTTGTTAGTCTTTGACCAAAGACATTTACCTGGATGAGACGACAGGAGCTTCTGTAGCTGCGAGCGGTCACCAGTTACACTGAACAGGGAACTGAACAGCCAGCCAGTATTAGTTTTTCCTATCGAGCTGTCTGAAAGGAATTTAGGTTTCATTGTGTGTTCGTCTTTATTGTATTGCTTATATTTCATTCCTACAGCCTTGATTTCCCAAAAAAAAAAAAAAAAAAAAAAAGTCATCAGCTTCTAGTTATCTTAAGTTGCCATTCTTTATCGAAAGCAAGCGAAGTTGTACAACACGTTCACATCGATATGTGTATTTGAGAAGAGTGCTATAGAGATGTGTAGAGATTCGAGTCATCACAATGGTGCATATTCTGCGTAAAGGTTATGCCACCTACTCGCAAGAATGGTTTTGGGCTTACGTCTCCCCCCCCCCTCCCTCCCCCCCCCCTCTCTCTCTCTCTCTCTCTCTCTCTCTCTTCTCTCTCTCTCTCTCCTCTCTCTCCTCCCTCTCTCTCTCTCACTCACGCTCTCACTCTTACTCTTCATTCACTCACGCTCTCACTCTTACTCTTTCTCTCACTCTCCTCCTTTCCCCCTCTCCTCTTTCTCCTCCGTGTATATGTATATATATACATATGTATATACATATATACATGTGTATACATATAATCATATGCATGTGTGTGTGTGTGTTTATATATATATATATATATATATATATATATATATATATATATATATATATATATATATATATATATATATATATAACATACACGTGTGTGTGTGTGTGTGTGTGGTGTACACATACACTTATATATTTACATATATGTATAGTCTACATATACATTTATGTATACTTACATGTAAATGTTAAAAATGCCAAGTAAAATGCAGTTCTGATTAGAATCTCACTACCTACATGCTTCTCGCAAGACGAACCACACGAGAAAAGATACATCGCACATGACGCTCCCTAATCTTAAAAAAAGGTAATTGATCAAAATAAAACTAAACAAACAAAAGAAACGGTGCCGTGGAAACTTCAAATAATACATAAAACAACATTGCTCTAGATGAAAATGCCCTAAACGTGTAAAGAATCATTTATCAAAGTCGATTAAATCTATATTATCACTGCGGTGTCAAGCGTCGCCGCGGCCTCCGACTTCCGTGCTCCAGCAAAGAACATTTATCATGTAAAATAGAATAAGATACGTCAAATAGCATGTAAAATAGGAACAGATATAAGATATAGGGTCAATGACCTTGCTGGCGATTTAGTGTATAAAAAGAATTAATCAAAGCTTTATCCTGTAACCTATAAGTGAAAGAGGTTTGTTGGCTTTTGTCCATAGACATTTACCTGGATAAGACGACAGGAGCTTCTATCGCTGCGAGCGGTCACCAGTCACACACTGAACGGGGAACTGCACAGCCAGCTGGTACTAGTTTTTCCTATCGAGCTGTCTGAAAGGAATTTAGGTTTCATTGCGTTCTCGTCTTTATTGCATTGCTAACATTCTATTCCTTACACCCACGTTTTTTTTTTTTTTTTTTTTTTTTTTTTTGGTGGGGTAATCATCGACTCGTTATCTTAAGTTACCATTCGTTATCTAAAACAAGCCAAGTTGTACAAATCGTTTATATCAATATGTGTATTTGAGAAGAATCCTATAGTTATGCGAACTATTCGCAAGAATGCGTTTGAGCTCACGTCTCCCCCCCCCCCTCTCTCTCTCCCTCTTTCACTCACTCACGCTCTCTATCTATCTCTCTCTTTCACTCACTCACGCTCTCTGTCTCTCTCTCTCCCTCTTTCACTCACGCTCTATGTCTCTCTCTCACTCTTCTCTCTCTTACTCTTTCTCACTCTCCCCTCCTACCTCTCCATCCCTCCCTCCCTCTCCTCTGTGTATATGTATATATATATACATATATATATATATGTATATACATATGTATATGCATATATACATGTGTATACATATAAACATAGGCATATGTATGTGTATATATATACATTATATATATATATATATATATATATATATATATATATATATATATATATATATATATATATATATATATATATATATATATATATACGCACACACACGTGTGTGTGTGTGGTGATAAGAATCTCACTAACTAAAACAGGTGATTGATTAGAATAAAACTAAACAAACAAAAGAAACGGTGCCGCGATAACTTCAAATAATACATAAAACAACATTGCTCTAAATGAAAATAACCTAAATGTGTAAAGTTATGGCCAGAATCATTTATCAAAGTCGATTAAATCTATATCATCATTGCGGTGTCAAGCGTCGCCGCGGCCTCCGACGTCCGTGCTCCAGCAAAGAACATTTATCATGTAAAATAGGATAAGATACAACGTCAAATAGCATGTAAAATAGGAAAAGATACAGGGTCAATGACCTTGCTGGCGATTTAGTGTATAAAAAGAATCATTCAAAGCTTTATCCTGTAACCTATAAGTGAAAGAGGTTTGTTGGTCTTTGACCAAAGACATTTACCTGGATGAGACGACAGGAGCTTCTATAGCTGCGAGCGGTCACCAGTCACACACTGAAGGGGGAACTGCACAGCCAGCTGGTACTAGTTTTTCCTATCGAGCTGTCTGAAAGGAATTTGGGTTTCATTGCGTTCTCGTCTTTATTGCATTGCTAACATTATATTCCTTACACCCACGTTTTTTTTTTTTTTCTTTTTTCTTTTTTTTTTTGGGGGGTAATCATCAACTAGTTATCTTAAGTTGCCATTCGTTATCTAAAACAAGACAAGTTGTACAAATCGTTTATATCAATATGTGTATTTGAGAAGAGTCCTATAGTTATGCGAACAATTCGCAAGAATGCGTTTGAGCTCACGTTTCTCCCCCCCTCTCTCTCCCTCTTTCACTCACTCACGCTCTCTATCTATCTCTCTCTTTCACTCACTCACGCTCTCTGTCTCTCTCTCTCTCTCATTCACTCACGCTCTCACTCTCTCTCTCTCTTATTCTTTCTCACTCTCCCTCTCCCTCTCCATCCCTCTCCCTCCCTCTCCTCTGTGTATATGTATATATATACATATATATGTATATACATATATATATATATGTCTATATATATATATATATATATATATATATATATATATATATATATATATATATACGTACACACACGTGTGTGTGTGTGGTGATTAGAATCTCACTAACTAAAACAGGTAATTGATTAGAATAAAACTAAACAAACAAAAGAAACGGTGCCGTGATAACTTCAAGTAATACATTAAACAACATTGCTCTAGATGAAAATGCCCTAAACGCGTGAAGTTATGGACAGAATCATTTATCAAAGTCGATTAAATCTATATTATTACTGCGGTGTCAAGCGTCGCCGCGGCCTCCGACGTCCGTGCTCCAGCAAAGAACATTTATCATGTAAAATAGGAAAAGATACAGGGTCAATGACCTTGCTGGCGATTTAATGTAAAAAAAAAAATGCCAAAGCTTTACCCTGTAGACCATAAGTTAAAGGGGTTTGTTGGCCTTTGACCAAAGACATTTACCTGGATAAGACGAAAAGAGCTTCTATCGCTGCGAGCGGTCACCAGTCACACACTGAACGGGGAACTGCACAGCCAGCGAGTACTAGTTTTTCCTATAGAGCTGTCTAGCTGGAATTTAGGTTTCATTGTGATTTTGTCTTTATTGTAATGCTTGCATTTTATTCCTTACAGCCATTATAACTTTAATCACCAACTGCTAGTTATCTTGACGTACCATTCTTCATCGAAAGCAAGCAAAGTTGTACAAAATGTTTACATCAATATGTGTATTTGAGAAGACTCCTATTGGGATGTATAGAGAATCTAGCCATCATAATTGCGCACATTCTGCGTAAGTTATGCGAACTATTCGCAAGAATGCGTTTGACCTCACGTCTCTATATCTATCTCTCCTTTCTCTTTTTTCTCTCTCTCTTTTTCTTTTTCCCTTTTTTCTATTTCTCTCTCACTTTCTCTCTCTTACTCTCTCTCACTCTTACTCCCTCTCCTCTGTGTATATGTATATGTATATATATATATATATATATATATATATATATATATATATATATATATATATATATATACATTTATAGGTATATACATATGTATATACATATACATGTGTATACATATAAACATATGCATGTATATACACACATATAAGTGTGTGTGTGGGGGGGGGGGTTACACATACATGCAAACAAACGTAAATATATATATATAGTCTAAATATATATATATATATATATATATATATATATATATATATATATATATAATGTATACATAGCATGTATACATACATAAAAATTTTAAAAAATATATACATATATATTATGTATACATACATATAAACGTTAAAATTGCCAAGTAAAATGCAGTTCTAACTTATTAGAATCTCACTAACTCCATGCTTCTCGCAAGACGAACCACACGAGAAAAAATACATCGCACATGACGGTCACTAATTTTTAAAAAGGTAATTGATCAAAATAATACTAAAACAAAATAAACGGAACCGTGATAGCTTCAAATAATACATAAAACATCATTGCTCTAAATGAAAATAACTTACATGTGTAAAGTTTTGGCCAGAATCATTTATCAAAGTCGATTAAATCTATATCATCACTGCGGTGTCAAGCGTCGCCGCGGCCTCCGACGTCCGTGCTCCAGCAAAGAACAAATAGCATGCAAAATAGGAAAAGATACAGTGTCAACGACCTTGCTGGCGATCTATCGCTGCGAGCGGTCACCAGTTACACGCTGAACGGGGAACTGCACAGCCAGCGAGTACTAGTTTTCCTATCGAGCTGTCTGACAGGAATTTAGGTTTCATTGTGTGTTCGTATTCATTGTATTGACAACATTTTCTTCCTTGCAGCCATGATTTTTTGTTCGTTTTTTATTTTAATCACCAACTTCTAGTTATCTTGACGTACCATTCTTCATCGAAAGCAAGCGAAGTTGTACAAAATGTTCACATCAATATGTGTATTTGATAAGAAAGAAATCTAACGAAAGCTAAAACTATTCACTTCTTTACCCAACTAGGAGAATCCCGGGGTGATAGCGCGGCCACTTGGAAGACCCTCAAATATCTATTCCCTGACAGCAGGAATTAAGACAGTGGAACTCTGATTAATGATGAAAAGGACATATTTTTTTTCATTTCCCTTTTTAATGTAGGGAAAAATACCTTTGAGAGATATCAGTGATTGTAACACGCAACCTTAATGAACAAACAAGGAATACTTCTATTATAAATGATCATGCTTTGTTTAAATTCACACCTATGGACTTAGTAGATACTATCACAAATATTAAACACTTTGAAAACGCAATTTATTACGGCTTAGACGGTGTACCATTAAGATTTATTAAGGACTCGATAATCGCAGGATACCTCACGTGTATAATCAACACTTTTATAGTGACTGAACAGTTCCCTACGGCTTGGAAACATGCAATTGTAGTTCCTATCTTTAAGAATGGAGAGGTGGACGAAACCTATAAGTATCGCCTAATATCGCTATTTCCTACAATAGCTAAAATACCTGACAAAGTTGTAGCATCTCAAGGCAATGCCTATCTTGAAGGAAGGAAGCTGCTAGGTGATATCCAGGGATCTCACAAGCAGAGATAAACATTACCTTAGATGTTGTTGATTTTTACCCTGGATTACAGCAAATTACCTTAGAACTGTTGGGGCATATCCCTGAAAATGACCTTAATTTTTTGTTGAAAACATTATTTTCTTTAAAAAAAAGTGCACTTTCTCTGTTCATAATACTTTTAATGATTGCGCAGTTAAACAGCTCTAATTTCCGGTAGCAATCAACCATAATACGCATACGAGAATTTTTAAATAGATCTGATAGGCTACGTCACGACTTTAGCATAAATGGTAATCATTAAGAAAATGAATGCCCTTTCCTTCAACATAAATAATACTTATCTTTACAAAACATAAAAAATATCAATTCCAAACTGACAGTAATACAGTCGCAAGTGTTATCACACTAGATCATCAATAATACATTTACAAGATACAGAGATAAAACACATTTTCAAATACTAACACAGTAAGATTGTCCAAAGTGTTATCACACTAGATCATCAATAATACTTATCATTATAAAATCTAAAGAAAAAAGTAGTGTGGTTATTCTCATTTGTTTAAGGTTGAGATTAAGTTAGTGACTTTATAGTATATAGTTTCTTGAAACTATATAGCATATAGTTTATAGTTTCTTGAAACATTCAAAGAAAAAACTTGTCATGATATTAATTTTCAGGATTAATTATCTCATTTAAAGTATACTTAGTCTATTATAAGAGTAAGTACTGCTATGGTGGGGAGGGTGTTAAATATGTCAGTTACCCCTTGATGCCCAGAATACTTCGTTTTTTGTGTTTACCCTCAGTTCCTTCGTTTTTTATTTCTCAATTAAAGAATGCCTATATTTTTGTTGAGTAGAATGTAAGTTTCTTTAATTTAAATTAGAGGAATATTATATTTTAATTTAGTTTTATACCATCAGACAAAAACTACTTATTTTCCATATATAGCTCTATGTATTTCAGTTTCAGTTTCGGTTTC